ATATAACATAAGGTAGAGATATCCTTGGGTTCCTGAAATCTATTCCAATGGATGGCAGGCTCTGGAAGAGCCTACCGAAAGGAAAGGCTTTGAGTACCAGTTGACTGCTGGTCAGTGTATCACCTTTCCTTTTGACTTACTTAGCTAAGTAGGAAACATCACTGAAGATGAGGCCATCAGTCTTTTTTTTTTTCATCAGAACAACCCACGAAACAATATCCTGAATTTGGAAGAGGTTGAGATCAGCCCTGGGGAAGGAAGTGCTCAAAAGAAGAAAATCACAGGTCTTCAAAATGAAATACAGTGCAGTGATGCTGAGTTAACCTGGTGCTAAGGTTGACAAGACTGCTCACTCAATGGCAAAGCAAGCAAGATGTCTTCTTTCCCTCTCTTGGTGACCTGTGGTTAGAAGAAGCTGCTCTCTAGTTAGTTCAGTTTTGCATCTTGGGCAATTAGTGTCACTTCTAGGCTCTACTCAGTCACAAAAGCATGCAGTCCAAAGACAAAATGCCCAGGTCTCTCTGAAATGATTTTCATCTGCTGTGGTGGTACAAAAGTCTTTGAATGTGGAGTTAGACTTAGGGAAGGCACTTAGCTACTGTTGCACTCAGTTTCTTCATTTATAAAGTGAGGGGTTGCACGGGAAGATGTCTAGTGCCCCTTCTAGCTTTAAGCTCATAATCCCCAGCCAAATGAGATGCAGAATGCTTACCAACTCTACAAATAAAGGAAAACCCTGTTTGAGGGTTGCCTCAGGTATCAGGAGGATTTGACTTCACAACCATCTAATACTGGAATTAATTAACATATAATGACAATTTTGTGTCATTAGCTACAGAAGAAAGCTGAGTTTTGTTGTCTAATTTAATGTTTTGTTTTGTTTTGTTTTCTGCCAGTGGCATAGATCTTAGGTCTCAAGAAAGGAAGTTATGTAAAACAAACCCATCATGACTTTTTATAAGTTTAAAAACTTATTTTTCAATGTGTCAACATCTTAATGTGATTGGGGAGATAAACTGATGTATGTATATACTGATAAATGCTCCTTTTTTTAAAGCTTTCAGAATCCTTCTCCTGCTAGATTCCTGGAATTCATTTTATTTTGGTGAATTTTCTTTTGATATACAAGGAAATTTGGGTCTTTATGCTTTAAGACACAGGCAGTCCAAAACTGTCAGCAGCAGCCCAATCTTGACTTTATTTCTGTCAGACAAATAAGCTAACATCCACTGCTTCTCTTCTGAAAGCAAGAGTAGGAGAGAGGAGAGCATCGAACTGAATTAAAGGGTTACACAGCCATTAGCAATGCCTAGATCAGCAGTTCTAGAATAAATGCCAGCCTCATCCACAAGGGGGCCTGATGATTCCAAGTATCCATTGAGAGAGCACAGGCAACTCAACCGCAGGAAAATAACAATCTTCATTCTGACCATTACTCTACATCTTCTCCACTGAACTACCAACGATTTATAAGTTTGAGGTTTTGATCATCTGGGGTCAGTTGCAATCTCGTAGATGTAGAACTGGAAGGCCAATCAAATCCAATGCATCAATTTTACAGATGAGGAAACTGAGACCCAATTTCACACAAGTCGGAATTAGCAGAGGTCTGTTATTTCAATTTCTCCTCTCTTTAAGCTGTACCATGATGCTTTCTCCTGATAGAGATGCAGTGACATGATGTAGTGAAACACTGGAAGTCTTGGTCTCTAGCCCTCTTTCTGCTACTAATTTACTTTATGACTATTAGCAAATTATTTAAACTCCCTAGCTCACTCCTATAAGGTTTAGGTGCTGGGCTGGAACAACTTAAAGATTCCTTCCAGCTTTAACATTGTAAGAGGTTTTCCCTAACCTTCCTCTCTCCCAGACTGCACCTAAGATTTTATGAGCATGGAAAACTGTCAGTAATGAAATTCCCACTTCCAATTTGTAAGGGCACATATTCTCTAGCAGAGGTGTCAAACAAGTGGCCCACAGGCTGCACATAGCCCATAACACTCCCCAGTGTGGCCCAAACCAGATTAAAATATAATTGGGAGATATTTAGCAAAATTAATAAAAATGCAACAGAACGCAGGTAATGTTAAAATTTAAAACTAAGTCAGTATACGGTCCTCAAGGATGCTTATGTATGGCTCAGTGCCCTCCATTTCAATGTGATTTTGGCACCACTGCTGTATAACTCAGTCTTAGAGTTTCCCAGAATGCTGAGGTTTAGTGACCTGCTTAGGGCATAGCTAGTGTGTGTCAGAAGAAGCCTAGACATTCCTGCAAAGCCTGCTTTCTGTTAGCAGTGCCATCTGCCTCATTTAATGAGGCTATGAGTTGCTAATAAATAATAAGTAGGGGAACCTGGGAAGTCAACAATAGTATGAGAAGAAAACCAATGAAAGGGACAGTAGACTAAATAAATGGAGGAGTCAATCTCTGAGCAACCCTCCATATGAACAAGAGTTTGTAGCAGAATGAAGTTCAGAGGTTCATAGACTTGAAAATTGAAAGTGATTTTTACAGGTCTGCTAGCCCAAATCCAGCTGGGTAGTGCAGCAGATAAAGGACTGGGGTTGGAATCAGAAAGACTCATCTTAATGATTTCAAATCTGGCCTCAGACACTTACTAGCTATGTAGCCCTGGACAAGTCACTTAATTCTGTTTGCCTCAGTTTTTCATTCGTGAGATGAGCTGGAAGAGAAAATGACAAACCAATAGTTTGGCCAAGAAAATTCCAAAATGAGGATATGAAGAGTTGGACACAATTGGAACAACTGAACAACAGTCCAGATCCCCAATTTTACAGATTAAGAAACTGAAGCCCAGAGAGATGATGTATTCCTCTTCAACCCCTCCACCCCCGAAAGGAATAAGTCTTATAAAGAGGCTTGCTTTAAGTAATGTTTTATCATTATAAAGCCAATAATGTTATGGATTCGAGATAAGAAAATTTAGAATAACCATTTTGGTAAATCAATTGGGGAAGAGTAGCTTGATAACTTTGCTGCAGTAAATATTCATTTGAGGTTATCTAGAATAAATTTTTGGTGGATTCAATAACAATGGTTTTGTGGTTTCTTCTAGTTCCATTCAAACATATATGAATATGGATTAAATAAATGGCTATTATGAGTTAGAGTGTTGGAGTTTGGCAAAATGTTATCAGTGAGAAGTAAAGGCGACAAGGAATTCTAGAGTGGGTTACAGCATTGAGTGGAACACATTCAGCAAGGGGTTGAGATTGGGAAGAGAGTGTAGCTAGAATGGGGTGATCATTTAGAAAAGTATTGAGGAGTAGAAGAACTGGAGGTCACAGTAAAAATGAAAAACAGGGTTAAGAATTGAAAGGAATAAGGGAAGATAGAATGGTTAAAAAAGATTTTCATTGGATACAGAAAGTTAAGAATTGATGAACATGCAAGTGTGACATTTGTGGGTGCTGGCAAGATCAAAAGTATGGTCATCCCTGTTTGCAGCTCAAATGGAATGGAAAAGGTCAGAAATGAATTACGAAACTGTCAGGTTCGATTTTTGAGGGAATATCGATATGTATTCAACCCTCTGCCAAAAAAGGGCAAGATTTGTGATGGAGAGAGAAACTGAGTCAGGCACTGATATTGTTGATAAGGGAACGAGAGTACCTTGCATGTCCATAGATGAATGAATGAATAAAGAATTTATTAAGCCCTTACTATGTGCAAAGCACCATGCTAAACATTGGGCACACAAATATGAAAAGGAGGCAGTCCCTGCTCTTAAGAAACTCACATTCAAATGGTAGAGACAACAAATACACATGGATGGTTTCAGCTGCAAGTCTGATGGAAAAGTCCCATGATCTTTAGGGTGCAGTGGCAAAGTAGATGTTTAGGTTTCTTCTTTAATATTTTTCCACTGATAAAATTATAAACATTTTTGATATTGAACCATCTGGTTTTCTTTTTTGAGTCTTTAGTAGCTATGGCTGTAACATCGCAGAAGCAGGAATGCTTCCCAGGATACTGTTTAAGGGTGCTGGAGTGGAAGCATTGCTATTCCCAAACCTCTGGGGTGCGGGGTGATAGCTGTCCCCTCTCTGAATATCTGAGGAGAAACATGAGTCAAAGTGCTGGTGGTAGTTTAACTTCACTAGCATACTCTGTTTCCTGTCTCTCCACCTGCACTGCTTGCTGCTTCAGGTAGACTGCCTCACCTGCCCTGTGTGTGGCTATTGATAGGGATGGCTGGAGCATTCCCTACAGGAATTGTTTACCCAGATAATAGCTGTCAGGGCTAATCTGCATGCAGGAATAGCTGTTTCCTGCTACTCGTAGGGTCTCTTTAGCCATATGCCTGTTGGTCACATTTGGTCAGTTGTCATTGCTGGTGGTGATGAGGAAAAGATGTCTTTAGGGTGGTCTGGAAGCAGCACTCTTTAGTTTGAGGGGCTCTACTATTCCTAAGACTCTTGAGTTCAGTTTTCTGGGTTGTCCCCATCAGGATCTGAGTGGGGATAGTGGTTATGTTGGTTTATACTTCCTCCTATGTCTCCCTTAAGATGTATTGCACCTAACATTAGAGATCATCAGTAGGGATTTAAAATGAATGATAATAATGGCCTATATTTCTCTATGAGCATTTCAGTGCAAAAAGCTACCATGTAAGGTATTTTATCTCAATTTTACCAAAGATGAATTAGCCTCAGAGAGGAAAAGTGACATGTCTGAGGTGATATGGAACTAGGCCCAAACTGTGCCAGATCCCACGCTGCCAAGTCCAGCTCTCTTTCCACTCTCCCAGCTGCGTCTTCATGACGTAATTTGCTTGAGGTACCAATTATATCAGGTTCAATATCCAAAGTGCTTGTGCTGGAGCATGGCTGGCCTCCAGCTGAGACTGTAAATGATGCTGGTTGGGCAAAAACATCAGTCTTGTCGATTTGATGTCAGAACTCAATAAATGAGTGATCTGTGGTTTTCAGAGTTTCACCCTTTCCTAGAACTGATGCCTTTTTCTTTTTTCCCAGAAGTATCGCTATCAAGATGAAGATGTTCCACATGATCATACTTTACCTCGTCTAACCCATGAAGTAAGAGGACCTGAACTTGTTCATGTGTCTGAGAAGAACCTGTCACAAATAGAAAATGTGCATGGATATGTTTTGCAGTCCCACATTTCTCCTCTGAAGGTGAGTCAGGTTGATATTTGTCTATTGCATCAGGCCATCGTACTCGACACCTGGTCTGCAAGTCAAAAGAGATGTTTGTAGGATTCATTCAAGGAGTCTCTTTTTTTTTTTCCCTGGAATCCCACCATGTTCTTCAGTCGTCGCAATGCCCTACTGACAAATGGGCTGTTATTGGATTGTAGTAGTTTATAATTGACTTATTTTATTCTGGCAAATGGTATACAGAGTCTGTGTGTGATTCTTACAGAATAGCTGAGGGTGAAATGTTAAAAACAAGAACAAAAACAGAGCTATTAAGGAGCCTATGTCACATATAAAGGGGAAGGGGAAGAGGGGCTCGAACTTCCTCTCCTTTGCTGGCCTTGGTCAGAGATTAAGGAAGAAAATACACTGTGCTTGCTTTGCATTCTACTACCCATGTGGAGATGTTAGCCTTGCACTTTGTCATGTGGTCCTTGAGGAAGCTTCTGGTTAGATATTCTCTCTATCTGTTAGCGTATGCTGAACAACCCTTGCTTTAATTCTCCTTTAGTTTTAACCAGCTTCTCAACAAGCAATAGATTTTGACAGATTAAGGCATACATAGGAGAAGATTTTTTTTTAACATGTTTAGTGTTTGCAGCATTTCTATAGCTTTTTTTTCCTTAAATAGTGTTATAAGTGATTGTATATTTTTTCCTATATATAACTTAAAATGGCTAAAGAAAGATGGACCAAAGTCAACTTTGGTCGTCCATACAGTACAAATGGAAAATATTACAAAGATAGATATGCTGAAGTGAGGAATCTATAATTATTGACATAGGAAAGAATTAGCTAGCATTTTGCTGCCTGGACATTATTGACCAATAATTCTGTTCAATTAAATTCAGAAAATATTTTAAAAGACCTGTTGGTACTAATTGCCAAGAGATACAAAGAGATTTTTTTGCCCTTGTAACAATTAGTCTGATGGGAAGAATAAGACCTATATGAGAATGGCAGGAAGTAGAATGTCCCAAGTGCTGTAGGAGCTATGCTTGCTTCCTTTCTCTTTTAGTTTTAAATGGCATCTAAGTAAATCATGACAGCACAAGTTGGAGGAATCATTTGTACTATATGGATGACCAAAAGTTGATGATGACTCATGGAATCGCTTCTGGTATGTAGGGTAAGCAGGGTAAAATCCAGGAGGTCTCTATCAAGGAGATGGCATATGGTCTGGCCCTTTTTGGAAGGATATACTTTGGAAAAGTGGAGATTGACATAGGAAGTGTATTGTAAATGGTGAAGTAAGTACTGAGGGTGATGTTATGAAAGCAGAAAAATGGATGGTGGGAAGCAAAGAGGACAAATAGTTTTATGTTATATATCCTTGGAATTTTTTTTTCATTTTGGGGGGGCTTAGCAATGACTTTCTGGATATATAGTTCGGTAGTGAAGAAAGTCCCCTCAGTGGTACAAAATGGCTCCTGCCCTTTGGCCTGGTATTCTAGAGTTCCTTGGGGCCCTTGAATGGTGGCTCTATGGAAATTAATAATGAATTCATAGTATTCATTCATTACTCCTTTCAATAAACATTGTGGTGCTTTCCTTTCCTTCAGCCCCCATATCCAATGATAAAATAAGAATGTGCTTAGATCATTTGAAGTCTTAAAAGCAATGTTGACACACTTTTGAACTTCACAGCGTTCCCGTGAGGCAGGTACTAGTGTTGTGATTGTTATCATTGTACTGCTGAGACACTTGGAGCTCATGACTTCCCTATGGTTACAGAGCTAATGGATAATAAAGGCAGTATTTGAATACATTCACTAAAGGTAAAAATTGTCTTTCAGTCACTGAGTGGATTCTACTGCTGCAATATTTCTCAAATACTTCCCTATTTTCCAACCATACTGCAACCATTCCAAATTAAGCCTTTATCGCCTCTTGCCTAGTTTTAATGGATATTCTTGACCATCAAATCTAATTTCACATGATTACTAACTAAACCATAGCAGGGATATGGGTGGTGGAAGCAGTTAATAAGGGATTACACTGTATCATGAAAGATCCTGATCTGTGCCATGGGACCCTATGACATTTATTGGTCATTCAGGAATTGAGTCAGATCTTATATATTCTAGGATGCTGCTCTAATCATTTGATCTTAAAATGAATTTAATTATAACTAAATAGATATTACTGTTATATGCACATTTCTACACATGAAAAAATCTTCTATAACATTGACTTCTTCAAAAGCAGCAAGGAGTAGTGAGTGGAGCATCTAGCTAGGAGTCAAGAAGACCTGGGTTTTAACCTCACCTTGATCACAGATTAGCTGTGTGATCTTGGGCAAGTGACTTAACTTCTCTGAGCCTCAGTTTCCTTCTCAGTAAATATGGGTGCTGAAACCTGTAGTACCTACCTCATAAGGCCATTGTGAGGCTTAAATTGGAGAATGCATATAAAGTGCTTTTCAAATTTTAAAGCTCTGAAAAATGTGCTTCATTATTTTAACATTCCTCCTCCTCCCTCCTCTCACCTTCTCCTACTTTGTCCTCTTGTCATCTTCCTTCTTTGCTTAAAATTTTCCTGGAAGGATGAACCCATGACCTCCTGGGGCAGCCCATTCCACATTGGAATAGCTCAAATTGCCAAGAAATTTTTTTAATCTTATACAATCCTAAATTTACTTTTCAGCTTGTTCTACCCATTGTTTCTAGTTCTCAGGCCAAGTAGAGCAAATTCAATACCTCTGACATATTTGAGAGTCTGACCCAGAAACACTTGAAGATAACTATCCAATTCTCCCTGCCCTACTCCCCATGTTTCCTCTTTTTTCGGTGTAAATATACTTGTTTTATCAACTTTTCCTTATACAGCATGATCTCCCCGTCCTTCAACACCCTAGCTGTCTTCTGATGAATACCATTTAGCTTATTAGTGTCCTTAAAATGTGGCACCCAGAACTTACATTTGCATAGTGCCTTAAAGCACTTTCCTCATAGTATGCCTGTGATGCAATGAGGGAAATTATTTTATCCCTATCTTACAGATAAGGAAACTGAACTCCTAACAGGTTATGTGACTTGCTCATCTTCAGATAGCTAGTAAGTGCCTGAAAGGTTGAATGGACTATAGCTTTCTATACTTCAGGTCCAAATCTACATCTACCCCCATGCTTCCTGTGTTTCCCACCACAGGAAGTCCAAACCATTGAACAAAAATTGATTAAAAGTATGTACTATGTGCTAGGTGCCAGGCACAAACAAATTCTATACAATACTTAGTCCCTGAGTCTTATAGTAAAGACACAAATAGTGATAACTATAATACACACTGTTAGATGAAAAGTTCTCATCTATTTGGCTTTCAAGGAAGTTTGATAATCTGAGTCCACCCCACCTAGCCAACCTGCCTTCACTACTTCAAGGATCTGTAATTTCACAGCTATATCTACTCCCTCCATGACCATTTGACATTTCAAGAGGTGAATTCATGAGTGGCTGAAAAAATAATCCACTACTAACCAACCCCCTGGTGATGAGCCTCTTTGTAATTAATTAAATTGGTCTTTGGACAAATGGCACACAATCTTAAAGCAGAAATCATAGGGAGACTGTCTTGGAGTGCTAGGAACACGTCTGCTTCAACCAGAATAGTCCATAGGATCTCTAGAATGAAGGCTTCTGTTTCCATGATACCTGCAGGGATGGTTACTAGGAACTGATCCTTGAATGATGGGCAGCTGCCCAGGGGGGTCCACCTAGGCAAGCTGGCTTCTCCCACTTTTTGCTACTGCTTTAGCCTACAATGTTTTCTCCATTTTCTGGTCTCAAATTGCATTTGATGTTGCTTCCACAGAATTTAGTACATTTGGGTAATTTTTCCATGTGTTTTGTGTGATAGATTTGCCTCCTTAATACAATTACACGTTTCTTGAGAGGAAAGAAGGTGTCTTCATACTTAGTGGGTACTCAGTACATAAAGTAAGTAGCATAGAATTATGGGATCTTAGCATCAGAAGGATTCTCAGAAGCTATCTCAACCAATTCTCTACTCACTTGCCACACACCTACTTCCTAGCTTCCTGTAGTCTGGCTTTCTTACCAACTACTTTAGAGAAAATACTCTATCAAAAGTCACCAATGGCTTCTTAACAGTTAATTCAAAGGCTTTTTCTCAGCCTCACTTCCTTTCATTCATCTGCACTTTCTTGGTTTTGATCAATGTCCATTCAAGTTTGCTCCTCTGTATTCCTCACAGTGTCTATGAATAGTTATTGTTGTTCATTTGTTTGTTGTGTACACCTCTCCATGACTCCATTTTTGGGTTTTCTTGGCAAAGATACTAGAGTGGTTTGCCATTTCCTTCTCCAGCTCATTTTACAGATGAGGAAACTATAGGCCTAAGTGACTTGACCAGGGTCACACAGCTAGTAAGTGCCTGAGGCCAGATTTGAAGTTAGGTCTTCCTGACTCCAGGCTCTGTCCACTGCATCACCTAGCTGCCCCTATATATATGTATAGTAAGTGATCAGTAAATTCTTGTTGATGGATTGATAGGGGTAGAACAATCAGGAAAACAAACCACAAACAAGGCAGAATGGTGTCATTGATGGTGGACTGGACAAGGAGAAAGGAAATACTGCCTATGACACTTATAAGTCATATTATTACTTACTTGAGCTTTTTTTACTCATTTCTAAAATGGAGCTAATAATGTCTATCACACTGTATCTCCCATGGTGGCTGTTGTGAGGCCTAAATGAAATGCATACATACTTTAACATGTATATAAATTTCAGTAATCATTGCTATACATTTGAAAGACTCTTACATTAATATGTTCTTGTAACTACTTCTACTTCCTCCTTGGAAATAATGGTTGCTGTCCTACTGCTGGTTCGAAATCTGGGTTGAATGTGCTCTTTTCGGGAAAAAAAATAACTTTCAAGGCCTGTTTTAGTCAAAGAATATGCAACTATTTTCTTTGGCCACTAGATGGCGGAAGTAGCTGAGAATCCTTGCTTC